AAGCTTGGGGGATCTCTCGATAGGCAAAGAAAAGGTATGGGAGCCACTGATCCCAATGAGACCCAGCTTCATTGATGAACTTACGAAGCATGTTTTTAAGGGTCTGGTTAAATCTCTCTGTAAGGCCATCAGTTTGTGGATGATACGGCATTGTTCTCAACCTACTAATACCAATCAGCTTGTACACATCCTTGAGCAACTTGGACATGAAATTAGTCCCTTGATCTGTCAATATTTCTTTAGGGAACCCAACTCGTGCAAAAAACTGAACCAGGCAAAATGCAACAGTCTTGGCTTTAACAGACTTCAACGGAAACACTTCTGGATATTTTGTGGCATAATCAGTAAAAACCAACATAAATCGGTTACCTGATTTGCTTTTCTCCACTGGGCCCACAACGTCCATCCCCAAACGTTCAAATGGTGTCGTTATGATGGGAAGAGGCTGCAGGGGAGCTCTTGCTGCGAATCTGGCTGAGGTTTTTTGACACTGAGGGCAACTCCTGCATAAACTGGCAACATCTCTGTACAATCCCGGCCAGTAGAAATACTGTTGGATATGGGCTAAGGTTTTATTTTTCCCTAGGTGACCAGCCCAAGGAATTGAATGGCCCAAAGATAAAACAGTTTCTCTGGCTGCTCTAGGTACCACAAGCTGTTTCAGTTCTCCATGTTGTCTATAAAGGATGCCATTTTGCAAACAGAATTCCTTTGCAGTGCCACCTTCTTCAGCTCCCTTAATAAGGTCAGCCAAGCCTGCATCCTGATGCTGCAGCTCAAGAATGTTGTCAGGAATTTCAAATCTTAGCTGTACCTCAGGTTCAGGTAACAGAGTGGACACTGTTGTGCGTTTAAAATTGGTCCCGTTTGCGCTGCCTACGCGACTTCTGTTCTCTAGTTGGGCCTGCTTCAATCTCAGCCCCAAAAAATGGTAAAGCTCTTAAACTGGGATCATCTTCCCTTGGAGTCTTCACCTGAGACCGTGTTATTGCCACATTGCACATTTTAGGATCATTAATCAAGTCAGTGAGAACTGGTAAATCATTCCCCAAGACAACAGGAAATGGTAATCTGTCCATGACACCCACATTTAATAGGTACACATGTCCTTGCACTTTCATATAGACATCCGCTGTTGGATACGGTTTTTCATCACCATGCACACAGCAGATTGGTATTGTTTCAGAAGTGCAGATGTGAGCTGGTGAGATGTACCTGCAGTGAACCAGTGACTGGGTGCTTCCTGTGTCAATCAGAGCCTTAACTTTCTGTCCATCTATCTCCACTGTTGTCTCCACCAACAGCTGGTTTGTTGGGTTTGGGGCATGGTTCCCTCTGGGCACAAAACACATCTGGGAGAGTTTAGCTGGATTTTGTGGACACACCGGTTTTGTGTGGCCTTCTTTCCCACACAAATAACAGACAGGTTTCCGCCTCAGATTTTTTGTTTGGCTGGGAAAATATTTCTCCCTTCCGCATGGCTTACCAACATTTCCTGTCGGACTGGTGTCACCTGGCGCAGGGGTATAATCCTTTTTCATAGCCTTAAAAGCCCATGACTGGTTCCTTCGACGGGCTGCCACAAACGCATCTGCCAAAGAAACTGCCTCTGCTGCGTCCCTTGGATTACGCTCCTTGATCCAAACTTGGAGTTCTCTGGGTCTGACCCATCTCCCATAGAGCTCCTTTAGTCTCACAAAGAATTCTCTGGGGGACTCATTTGGTTCAACTGATTTTGAACAGCGTGGTGCAGGCTCCGGTTCCACCTCATCCCAATCAGCATACTCATGAGGCCTCTCATGGTCTGCAGGCCCCAAACCTGCAGAGAAGCAGGCGTGGTCTTGCTCTCCAGGTAACAAGCCAGCAGAGGTCTGGGCCTGAAACTCTTGCTGAAACAGACTCACGGGCTTTCTGTCGTCCAATGTGAGCTTGAAGGATGCCAGCCAGGTCTGATATTGTTGGCTCTCTGCCATGATCCTCCTCTTCAGCAGCAGCTCCACAGTCCTCACTCCCATCCTCTGTCTGTGCTTCTCTCTCTAAAGGGGCTGACTTGATTTTACCAGATTTGGTTCCCTTCATTGTAGATTCGTCAGGATAAAAGAAAAGAAAAAAAATTGGGAGAATCTATTTATCAATGTCCTTTAACTGGAAGATCCCACCTCTGCCACCAACTGTCAGGGACCGAGCAGTAAACTCCAGGACAATGGTATAAAAAGAATATCTTCTCCATTTATTTCATAAAGAATTAAACAAAATCAAAACAAAAACAGGCCCAAAGGAAAAAATGGCCACAAAAATAACCTTAACTAAAAGTAGCAAGCAAGACTGCCCAAAGCTGAGACACACAAGGGAATTTATACACACAGGCTAGCCTACAGACAACGAGGAGGGGAGAGACAAGGGAAACACTAAGACAAACAGTAAATAAACCTAGGAAACTAAGTCAACAAAGTACAAATAACACAAAAAAAAGTTTAACTAATACATCCTAACAAAATCTGGTAAACTCAATAGAGCTTCAGAACTTCTGGTTTCTGGTTTCTTCATTATCCTGCTTCCAGGAGCCAGAAGGAATGTTCCACTTCCTGCATGGAGTTACACTGGGCGTGTCCCCTCTCTCTGCCAGTTCATCCAATCTCAGGAATACAAATGAAAATAGTTAATCAAATAAACTATGTATAAGATAAATTACTAAATGTGTGCACCCATTAGTAAACATCTTACAATATTGCCAAAATGAAATAATAAACCAGCGTGTGGAAAAAGATATTTAAATAATACTAACAGTGAGAAATGGCTGGAGGAACCTCCACATAGCACAAAATAGACCTGCTCTGCTCGTATTGTTTTAGGCTGCCCTTGCAGAACAAATGTGGGAGCTATGCATGAAAAACTTGCTTGGCTCAATGTGAAGAGTAGATTGAAGTATTTCTTGGTAACAATTGTGAGGAAAATTATAATTACAAAAACACCAAAAATTATACATAGCATACATTGTTTTTTTTTTCAGATAATCATACTTATAATACACGACAGATAAATGAGATGAAAGGTGTTTTACCACGCAGTAGAACAAATCAAATTCAATGATCATTTCACTATAAAGCTATGATTGCATGGAATGCATTACCTAGATTTTTAATATTTGAAAGTAATAACATTTCTTTTCAGAAGAAACTGAAACATTTTTTGTTTACACACTTAATTGCATAGTGACGATGAACTCTGGAATGAAGGATTACCTAAATCTGGGTTTGAGGTTGAATACTGGATATTGATGGACTATGATACGAAACAATGGACATGAGGTCACCATTCTGTTGTATTTTATTTTCAATCTTTATTTGGTGTGATTAACCCCTTTCCCGGTATTAGTTTATCTATATAATTTTGTTCTAGATATGTGATTTCATCTTGAGCTACTGGGATTATGTGAATTAGGGATGTGTGTGTGTGAGTGTGTGTGTGTGTGTGTATGCGGGTATTATCGTATGTAAACAATTGTATGAAAATGTACGAGACCCCAGGAAGACTAGCATCTGCATTTAGGCAGAAGCTAATGAGGATTTTAATAAAACGAAACGAAACAAAACACTTTTTAGCGGCATAGAACCACCCTTTTTCAAATCCAAACAACCATCATTTGTTTTAACCTGAAACAACTCCATCAGCTTCCAGCAGGAGTACCAGAGGGTCTCTTACTGACCAACCGTGCTGGACTCAAAAGGGCCTCTGACCTTTGAAATCCCCAGAAGTTCTAATCACTTGTCAGATGTGTCGAGATGACTTTGCTTTCCAGCTGGATCTCCAGGAACCCTCACCACTGGTATCGTAGACCTGCATACTGGCGTTGGATGGGTTAAGATTCAAACATCAGTAAATTCAGCCAGATTATTCTTGTAATCCCAGACTTCACATCTTTTCTATGACACCTGATTAGACTCTTGATAACGTCCAAGATCATGTTTCATTAGAGTTGGTTATTGTCCCAGTTGATACTACCTTCAACAGTCATTTACATTCAGTTATTCTGTATAATCATTAGTCGTATACATATAGTAATAAATGTTTATAAACTATATTTTTGCTTCTGTGTCAAATTATTGGTAAATGTTGTTTCCCTGGCAAACCCAAATGACCTATTTCCAGAGTCAATCCGATATTAAAGGTTCAACAGGTTTTAACTTGCAAATCTGCAACGCCTGCCTCCAGAGTGTCAAGACATGTTCAACAACACTGGCTGAACCAATCTGTAACTTTCCTTTTCCCGTAAGTTTAGGTAAGTTTTGTTATACGTCAGGCTCAGCCTTACTGGAGTACCACGTGTATACATGAGGAAGCAAAACCAATGCTGGAAGCAAAAAGACGGAACAAGAAATGCTCCTGGCATGATCTGTTTCAACATTTGCCCTTTTTCCAAAATAACTGGCTGAAACCGTTGAGTAAATGCCCATTTCTAGACACTATCAAGAATTTATGGGAAACAAAGTTTTGCAACAGCTTTCCCAGTTTGAAAATTTTCTAGAGGATCTCTGGTTACGTGCACATGACCAGGCAGATGTTGCCCAAATGTGACTTCTAACCAGCCTGGTTGTTATTTCTAATGAATAGACGAATGTGTGCTTGGAACTGGTGCGATGAGGAGAGTGAATAAATAAAAATTGGAAATAGTGCTAACTTGCAGCTGTTCCGCTTTATAGATGTCTAATGCATGCATGCCAAAGAAAATCTCTATTTTAACATTTACTGCTGATCAGGTTTCCTTTTAATCTGAATCATGTTTGACTGCTGGAATATTTTATTCCCAAAATCATATCTTTTTAGTTCCATTTAGTTTGTTTCTAGATTGAATTTATCCTAAATATGTTTCTTATGAACAATGTTTCACCTTTTCATTTAGATATGAGTAACTTTTTCATGTCAATGACAAAACAGTCAGAAAAAATGAAGGAAATTCAACAAAAACGAAAGAAAATGTTCAGTTTCAAACAAATGGGAATTTTACTGAGAACAACATGAATATTAAAGGAGGGATGGAGGAGTGGTCTTATGCTGAGGGACAACACCCCCTCAGGAGAACTTCTTATATAAGCTTGATAAAACTAAATGCTGCAGACATGTACTTCTTTACTCTGGTTCTTGGGCTTTGGCTTCTTCCAACAGGTAAGTCTTAAATTAGGTTCAAATTTTTTTTTCTTTTCTTAATTGACTTCACTGTAACACATTTTTTTAAGTTTTGTTACTAGGCTTATAATCTACCTTTTATTGTGATCTTTAGCAATAATGACTCAACATATATTTAATTCTTGTTTTTCTTACAATAGTAAAACAAATGTTGTCATTGTTTGTATCAGCTGACGCTCTGCAATGTTATGAGTGTTTACCAAACAAGTATGGAAGCTGTACCGAGACAACATCAGAATGTCCCTCGCAGGATTACCAATGTGCTGCTGCAAGAGTAACAACATTTTTAGGTATGTTATTGAGTTGTTTCTTGTTGTTGGTCTCCTGCTTGGTGTTGATTAACTTTAAAATAATTTTTCTTTGGTTTTAGGTGATTCAAAGATCTCTGACATCACAAGTAAAAAATGTGCCCAGGCTAAAGACTGTTTCAAAGGATCAATCAACTATGGAATTTCCAAAACCAGGATAAACACCAGCTGCTGCACTGGGAACCTCTGCAACACCAAACCAGCCCCTAGTAAAGTTGATCTTTGTGGTTTTTAAAGCTGTGCAGAATGCTCTGCTGTATCTGAATGGTGAAGCCTGCAATTGTTAGTTCAAGTTTTTCAATTCAATTCAAGTTTATTTATGTAGCGCTAAATCACGACAAGATTCCTCTCAAGGCACTTCACACAGTTAACATTTAAATACAGGTCAGTTCATTGAGCCAATCAGAAAAAAGTTTCCTATATAAGAAACCCAGCAGGTTGCATCGAGTCACTAACTAGTGCCCGTGACTTTACAGCAATCCTCATACTAAGCAAGCATGTAGCGACAGTGGAGAGGAAAACTCCCTTTTAACAGGAAGAAACCTCCAGAGAATCCTGGCTCAGTTTAAGCAGCCATCCTCCACGACTCACTGGGGATCTAGAAGACAGAGCGTGCGCACACACGCACACACACACACACACACACATACACACACACACACACACACACACACACACACACACACACACACACACACACACACACACACACACACACACACACACACACACACACACACACACACACACACACACACACACACACAGTGGTTAGCAACAGTGTTCAAGCCGATGGCCCCCTCCATGAGGGCACCACAGCTCAGCAGAACATCATTGTAGAGTCTGGGGAGAAAAACACTTAGAGAAACAATAAAGTTAACATGCAAAGTTTAATGCAATTATAATATATGGATACACAAAACAAAAAATATATATAATTTTGTTGAGAACAACATGAATATCTTATCTTATCTACTTGTTCTGAATAAGGTTTAGTAACAAAATTTTTACCTATAAGGGAACAAATAAAGGCACATTTTCAGGTATTAGGCAGCTTTAATTTTGTTTCCATTTATTTTCAATGCAATTATGTGAGAGTTGTGAAGGAGCATGGTTACATATTATCTTAGAGTCGATGCTGAGCAGCTGATTGAACCACATTGGTCATTTTAACTCCTTTTGCAAAACTCATCTAAAAGGAAAGAAAAGAAATTGTTTCATTCTGCCAAATAAAAATGTTTCTCTTGTTCAGATTCCAGCCTGGTTTCTAATGGCAGACAGTGTTTCACCTGCAAAGGAACTGACTGCACAGGATCTTTGAACTGTGAGGTGAGTGAGGACCACTGCATCAAAGCTACAAGTAAGAGTCCTTCTTCCTCTGTTCTCCACACCTTCATACCGTTAGTCACTTATTTACATGTGGTATAATTGTTACAGTGACTGCAGAAGGGGTCACTAAGATTTTAAAAGGCTGCACGTCCAAGCAGTTTTGCTCTGCGGATGCGATTGCACAAGCCGCTCACATGACTGGAGTCGACGTAAGTTGCTGCCAGGGCAACTTCTGCAACAGTGCCAGCGGTCCAATTGGTGGTCTGCTGCTGTTGATGGTGCCGCTCATCTCTTTCATTTTGTTTTCCTAGTGGATGCAAACATGAATATTCTGCTTTTTAAATCACAGCCACCAATTAGAAAGAACATTGTATCCAGTGTTTTCCTGAACTTAAAATAAAAATGTCTTGATGTTTGAGTTGTCATTCAGTTTTCATAAACCATACCGAGAAACTTTATTGCAGGGGTCACCAGGTTACTCTGCCAGGAATCAGCCAGCGAGCCACCCTGCCTGACTTGCTTTTAAATTAGATGTCAAGCTGTCCGTTTTCATTGAATACCTAATCTAAAATTTATTTAGAGGAAGTAAGATAAAAATCTGATTAATTACATAAATCTTACGGCAAACGTGAGGAAATATGCATATTAATTGCTCAGGTTGCAGTCGTAGCACCGATCTCCGTTTCTGTCCACTTTGATCAGCAGCTGCACATGCGAGGGCACGCTTCTAAAGAAGACGGGGTGACGTCATTATACAGACCATAATAACATCCTCTATAAAACATCCTGAGAAACAGGAAATTCCCATCTGGTGTAATAGCTGGGTAACGTAAATAAAATGCTGTTCCTTTGTTTTGATGAACACACACACACAACTTTCTGGACATCTCCTGTCATTTAGTTTCAACTAGTTTCCATCAACAGTTCCAGCTGATTTTCTCAATTAGTAATAAAACCTGATTTTAAACATTTTTTATTTTTGTGAAGCGCCTCGTGATTTTTATCTTGAGAGGCGCTGTAGAAAATGTCTTTTGTTCTTCTTCTTCTTCTTCTTCTTCTTCTTCTTCTTCTTCTTCTTCTTCTTCTTCTTCTTCTTCTTCTTCTAAAAGCAAGCAAAACTGCCAAGTGTGCCTTTAAATTTTAGCACAATTACTTGAAAACAGAATTTTAAGTAAATGGAAAAAAAAATATTTAAATAAAATAATTTAAAATAACACACACACACACACACACACACACACACACACACACACACACACACACACACACACACACACACACACATATATATATGTCATGGTTTGCATCTGTGTCTTCCCCATGTGTCTCCTTATGTCCTCCATCCCTCTTTAGATTCCCCTTTTGTGTCTCATGGCGCCCTCATGTGTCCTTTGTCTGCATCTCTGTTGTGTGTCTTAAGTTGTAGCCCCAGCCTCTTGTTCCCCAGTTCATTGTATGTGTGTATGAGTTTGTGTGTGTCAGTATGTGTATGTGTTTGTGTGAGTTCTTCCCTTAGTCTTTAGGTTTAGTTGTGTGTTTTATATAGTGTTAGGTTTATTTGCCCTCCACTGGTTCTCTTCCCCATCCAGATAATTGTTGTCACCTACCTTCCCTCCAGCCTCACTCCACACACCTGCTTCCTGTTTCCCTAATTGCTCCTCCCTGTCTATATAAGCCCTCCTTGTCTCATTGTTGTCAGTCCATTGTTGTTTGTCAGCGTTATTTGTTCTGTCAGTCTGCTCGTTCCTCTTGTGTTGTTTGACTCCCTGGATTTTTGGATTTTGGTTCCCTGCCGTTTGGATTTATTTTTGTTCTTCCTCCAAATAAAGGATTTTTACTTACATATCCACTCCTGCCTCTTGTCATCCTGGGTTCTGCATCTTGGGTCCTAACCTCCTGCTCCTAAACGTGACTATATATATATATATATATATATATATATATATATATATATATATATATATATATATATATATATATAATGTACACACACCCCTATATGTGTATATATATACCATACCATTTTATTTATAAAGCGCATTTAACAAGGCATTACAAACAAACAAGGCGCTGTACACTAAAAATGTTAGTTAATTAAACCGGCGTCAGACCGTCATGTAGAACAGAGATAAAAGATAAAAAGGAAAAACAAAAGATTCCTAGAACTAACAGTTAAAAATCAATGAAACACAGGGAGAATATAAAAAATAAGAAAAACATTTTAAAAAGAACCCCAATAATACGGAAGTTGATATTGTGAAGTCCATTTTTAAACAATGTAGTTGTAAGTGAGGTTTATAATTATGTGGTATACGCTAGGTTGAAGTAGTGAGTTTTCATGCGTGATTTAAAAATGCTAGCTGTTGGTGCTTGCCTCACTAGTAGTGGTAATGCGTTCCACAGTTTGGGTGCACAGACAGAGAAAGCCCTCTCTCCACGGCTTTTTAAACGTGCATTCGGAACAGTTAGGAGGAGCTTATCTTCGGACCTGAGAGCACGCAGCGGATTGTAGTAATGGACAAGTTCACACAGATACGGAGGAGCTTGATGGTTCAAGGATTTGTAAGTCAGAAGCAAAATTTTGAAATTTATCCTGAACTGCACGGGCAACCAGTGGAGAGATTTCAGAAGTGGAGAAATGTGTTGTCTTCTGTCAGCTCCAGTCAGGAACCTAGCTGCTGAATTCTGGACCAGCTGAAGTCTAGAAAGAGCTGCTTTACTGATGCCGTATAAGCAGGAGTTAGAGTAATCCAGCCTTGAGGTGATGAAAGTGTGGACCACAGATTTCAGAAGATGTACACTCAGGATGTGCTTTAGTTTCGAGATGCGTCTTAGTTGGTAAAAACATGATTTAACTGTGATTGACCTGGGCATCCATCTTCAGAGCCTGGTCCATTTTTACTCCAAGGTTGGAGATTACAGAGGATACATTAGGTGAGAGATAGTTGAGGTCAGGTTGATGAGTCGCCGTGGTACTGTAAGGACTGAAAACGATTAAGTCAGTTTTGGAGTCATTAAGATGGAGGAAGTTATCAGCTAGCCATAGCTTGACCTCAAGGATACAATCAGACAGAACTTTTGTTAATTGAGTTGGCTTAAATGAAAAGTAGATTTGACAGTTGTCAGCGTAAAGATGGTATGAGACAGCGTGCTTTCTGAAAATGGCTCCTAAGGGCATATATATATATATATATATATATATATATATATATATATATATATATATATATACATACATACATATATATAGGGGTGTGTGTGTGTATGCATGTATGTAAGTATATATATATATATATATATATATATATATATATATATATATATATATATATATATATATATATATATATATATATATATACATACATACAATACATACATATAGGGGGGGGGTATGTATATATATATATATATATATATATATATATATATATATATATATATATATATATATATATATATATAGTTGGTATATTCTTACACTTTTTTTTAAGGTCCAGAGATATCACTGATTCAAACCTGATCTGGATCATTAATCTTTGGACCGGGCCCTTAGAATCAGAAGAGGTTGTTTTTACCACAGAGAATTTTATTCAAACACTTTGTATTGACTTAGAGACAAGAAAAGAGAGAGGTGGGACGTTTAAGAATGTTTATTTTATAATTATTCGAAACAATCACCAGGACTAACTCTCTAATGATGGATGCAGATGAATGTAATGCTGAAGTGCTGGTGTGTGTGTGTCAGTTCAGAATCTCCATCTGGTGACGGCGAGTCTGAGTGCAGATGTTGTTGTGTCTAACTAACCGGGGGACTTCAGGAGGAAGACATGAGACGCCATCTATGCAGATCTATGTACTGTGAGGAGACTCCCGTGTTAGATCCGGATGTCAGGTCCTCGGACCCTCCTTGGTGCTGGAACTGGTGAAACAGCGTCGGCAGCACGACAAACCAGTCTATGGATAGACTCCCAGTACAACGGCAGGTTTCAGCGTCACGTAGAGTTCAGCTTTTATTCTGAAGGAACAGTCGTCTTGTTGATAAAACGACAGAATTTTCCAGCTTGACATTTCTCAGCTTAAAAGTAGAAAATACAGCCGGCCAGTCTGTACTTCACTTAGCGATGAGGGACATCAGATGGATTTGAGAGCTGGTCGAGTACTTGGTTGGAACTGCGTAGAACCAAGTTGAACTACGTTGAAAAACTTCGTTGGAACTGCCTTAAAATGGCGTTGTTCTGTTTTATTAAGCTTAGTTGTTTATGATTCTTAGCCAATCGGAGTGGACAGATTAACTAAACACCACAGAACTCTGGCCCGCATCAGAAAGGAAGTTCTGATTGGATGAGTGAACAATGTGTCATGTGTTTACCTTATGTGGATCAGGATGTCTAGCTCAGTTAGCCCAAGGTCCTGTTATTCATTAAACACATAAATCATAACGTCTGCAGCCAGGTCCTACTCCGCAAAGCTGAGTCCATAAATGACGTCATATCCTTTTTCAGGCTTCCCGCAATTTGAAGTTTTAGGAAACCCCATCTTGATTCTGGATTTAAAAATGCATTGTAATTATCGCGTTACTGACAATCGTACCGTGTAAATATTACCATTTTCTTACCCTGTCATGCCTTACATTACCACATTACAGCAAAAAGCAATGCATTACAGAAATTACTTTTGTACCGCGTTACTCCCATCACTGAACACCAGTATGCAGATCTACCGTGATGAGGGTTCCTGGAGATCCAGCTGGCAAAGCGAAGTTGTCTCAGCAAGGCGAGTGATTGGTCATCTGGGTATTCAAAGGTTGATTGCCCCTTGAATCCACACGGCTGGTCAGTCAAATAACCCGGGTACTTCTGCAGATAAATGCTGTACTAGAGCTGAGGAAAGCTCCGCTCGCTCGATCAGCGACTGAGAGAGAGAGAGAGAGAGAGAGAGAGAGAGAGAGAGAGAGAGAGAGATGATCGGAAGAACGAACCCCCAAACATGCATTATTATTTTCATAATTTCATCATAATTTGGGCCTCCTGACAGGGTTGCGGAAGGCGCTTTATAAATAAAGCTTTGATTGATTGATTGATTGATTGATTGATTGATTGATTGATTGATTGATTGATTGATTGATTGAGTTTCCAGTCGGACCAAGTGTTGTGATGTCGGGTCGGGAGATCAGGTGTTCTGGGAATTTCTCCTACCCCGTAAACCGTCCTACCCGTTGTTACTGAGCAGGTGCGCGCATGCGCACAACACAAAAGGGGAATGCTACTCCGCTGTCATATTTGCAGGAAAATAGATAAGTAGTAAGTATTAGTACTTTTTTCCTTTGGTTAGGGTTAGAGTTATGGTTAGGGTGAGGGTTAGGGTTTGTGTCAGAACACCGGTCTTGGGGAAGGGGCGGGCCTGAGTGACGTCGGCTGTCTCTTTTATTTAGGAACAAGGAGAATTTAAAATGAGAGAAATAAAAAATGGAAATTTTTGTTACACTTTATTCTTTTGTTTCATGATGATAAACTGATGCAAAATTCAGATTAAAGAGAAACTGGGAGGAAGCTTTGTTTCTTTTTATGTTAAAGGAGGTCTTGTTTCCTATCTGCTCCTCCAGAGACAGCATGGACATGAGGAGATAGTAAAAGTCCCACAGGACAGGTTAGTGGAAAAGTTTGTAGTTAGCTGGTTAGGGAAGGACTGAGCTGAAGAAAGAGAGAGTTGCGACACGCTTTGAACTCGCCGACTCGCGGTCACATGATTCATGGAAGTGATGGGAATTCCGGCTCTTTTTAGAGAGCTGGTTCTTTTGGCTCAGCTCATCAAAAAGAGCTGGCTCTTTCGGCTCCCATGACTCCTCAGATTTTCTATTGCGTAAAGTATATTTGTCACCAAAAATAATGCAAAACTATATGTAAAATGATTTGCTAATATAAAAAAATGCAATACAAGTGCTGGCCAGTAAATTAGAATATCATCAAAAGGTTGAAAATATTTCAGTAATTCCATTCAAAACGTGAAACTTGTACATTATATTCATGCAATGCACACAGACCAATGTATTTCCGATGTTCATTACATTTAAATTTGATATTCATAAGTGACAACTAATGAAAACTCCAAATTTGGTATCTCAAAAAATTAGAATATTCTGAAAAGGCTGAATATAGAAGACACCTGCTGCCACTCTAATCAGCTGATTTACTCAAAACACCTGCAAAGGCCTTTAAAAGGTCCCTCAGTCTTGTTTTGAAGGCACCACAATCATGGGGAAGACTTCTGACTTAACAGCTGTCCAAAAGACAATCATTGACACCTTGCACAAGGAGGGCAAGACACAAAAGGTGATTGCTAAAGAAGCTGGCTGTTCGCAGAGCTCTGTGTCCAAGCACATTAACAGACAGGCGAAGGGACGGAAAAAATGTGGTAGAAAAAAGTGTACAAGCTCTAGGGATAACCGCACCCTGCAGAGAATTGTGACGACAAACCCATTCAAAAATGTGGGGGAGATCCACAAAGAGTGGACTGCAGCTGGAGTCAGCGCTTCAAGAACCACCACGAGGAGACTCATGAAAGACATGGGATTCAGGTGTCGCATTCCGTGTGTCAAGCCACTCTTGAACAAGAAACAGCGCAAGAAGCGTCTCGCCTGGGCCAAGGACAAAAAGGACTGGACTGATGCTGAGTGGTCCAAAGTTATGTTTTCTGATGAAAGCAAGTTCTGCATTTCCTTTGGAAATCAAGGACCCAGAGTCTGGAGGAAGAGCGGAGAAGCACAGAATCCACGTTGCATGAGGTCCAGTGTAAAGTTTCCACCGTCAGTGATGGTGTGGGGTGCCATGTCATCTGCCGGTGTTGGCCCACTCTGTTTCCTGAGGTCCAGGGTCAATGCAGCCGTCTACCAGGAAGTTTTAGAGCACTTCATGCTTCCTGCTGCTGACCAACTTTATGGGGATGCAGACTTCACCTTTCAACAGGACTTGGCACCTGCACACAGTGCCAAAACCACCAGCACCTGGTTCAAGGACCATGGTATCCCTGTCCTTGATTGGCCAGCAAACTCGCCTGACCTTAACCCCATAGAAAATCTATGGGGTATTGTGAAGCGGAGGATGCAATACGCTAGACCCAACAATGCAGAGGAGCTGAAGACGACTATCAGAGCAACCTGGGCTCTCATAACACCTGAGCAGTGCCACAGACTGATCGAGTCCATGCCACGCCGCATTACTGCAGTTATTGAGGCAAAAGGAGCCCCGACTAAGTATTGAGTGCTATACATGCACATTCTTTTCATGTTCATTCTTTTCAGTTGGCCAACATTAGAGAAACAAACATTTTTTCATTGGCCTTTAGAATATTCTAATTTTCTGAGATACCAGATTTGATGTTTTCATTGGTTGTCACCTATAAATATCAAAATTAAACGTAATAAACATCGGAAATACATTGGTCTGTGTGCATTGCATGAATATAATGTACAAGTTTCACGTTTTGAATGGAATTACTGAAATATTTTCAACCTTTTGATGATATTCTAATTTACTGGCCAGCACTTGTATATCAAATAAGTATAATTTCAATGGATTTATTAACTGAACACTTTAAGAAATTTCAACTTTCCGACTGCTGTTGCTCATTTTCTCACCGTCTTCGTCGCACTCCTCTCTCGCTCGCCTTTTTCCTCCTCCTCTTTCCCTCTTGTCTCCCTCCACCCGCATGTGCTCTGCTGTGTGTCTGAGTCTGACCGTCCCTCTTCCCCGGCCCTACTGCTCTGTGTGTGGACAGTTTGGACACGCAGTTACACATGTTGACCAATCGCCTGTGGCTTTCACCAAAGCAAGGGGGTGTATGTGATGGCACCCAATGACGAGCCGGCTCCCGTCGTTCACTTGATAAAGCCGGCTCTTAGAGCCGGTTCGTTCGCGACCGACACATCAGTAGTTCATGGAGCTCTCAATAGTTCCAAACATCCCAGTGCCATACATCAATTTGAACGGAATATGGTGGGACAAATCACAAAAATGGAATATAATCACATTTCCCCTGGCGATTTTTGGTATTTATTGAATAATATTATATATTATGTCTTAATTCCTTCACAATGTAGCCTATTTTTTTCTTGAGCATTTGTAGGAAGACAGACACCCGTGACTGTTCTACATTACAGGAATACGATAGTCCTAACACATTGTATAATACATTTAGACCACATACATTACTATAATATATATTACAGCAATAAATTTGATGTAGTAATGCAACACACTGCTCTAATATAAGCATATTTAAGAACTTTAAGTCCTACAAGAAGCCCTAAACTCGAGTTGTAATATCCATTTTAAAGTGGTTTATTGAAAGCTAGAATTCTGCTCCAGCTTACCTTGAAGAAAATTTGTAGCTGTTTATGCTTTGAATGATGATCTATTATGTTCAGTAGAATGCATTTTACAATCATTACTTTATATTTTTATGTGAAGACAGTACATGCATCAATAGCCCAGTTTATCAGGTTTCTATAGCCTGACTAATAGCAACTAATTAAAAAAGAAAATTTCAATAAAACTGTATGGTCAAACACAAGAAATTAAAAAAGTGTGTGTTAATTGTGAAAAAATGAATTGCAAACTTGTACAACATGTATAATAGCATTTTTAATAAAGCATTTTTACCAACATTAGGTTTAGTCATTACATATGTGCAAATAACCTCCTTGGTTCATCGCCCTGAACCAAGGAGGAGGAAGGATCCCGCAGTGAGAAGTACAGCAGAACCCCTGCATGTTGATCCACTGACCAGTGACCACACATATTGCACTCAAGTAAACTGTGGTACGAATCTTTCATTTGTATTTATTTTATTAAAAATCTTTTCTATTCTAACAGTGCCATTATAATTTCAGAGAATGAGGAAAGCAGCTGCAGCAGTGAGGCAAATGAGATGAGGGAAAGTTAGGGGGGACATGAGATGGTATCAGGAGAGAGGGACATCCCAGGAAGCCATGAGGAGCCGGCGTCAGGGCCAGGAGGGGAAAGGAACAGGCTATGCAACCAGGGAACCCAGCTGGAAAACCTAAGGGAGGAAATAGAAAGTCTAAAAGAACACATTAGAAGATTGGAAGGGGCACTTAAAACACAGACAAACATTAATTCAGCCAAGCGAAAGAAAGTTTTCAACACGGAAAAAAAATTGGTCATATTTTTACTAAAGAGCAGTGGAAGGAACTGGCATGAAAAACTCAAGAGGCATTAAATGGAGAAAACAGACAATCAAAAACGCCGTGCAACTCTGTTTTTCAGTGGGTTCAACAGGCTGCAGGTTTCTTCAGGACACGAGCATCCCTCTGCCTGATGTTAGAACCCTGCAAAGACAAATGCAGCCCATTAAACTGGAACCAGGTGTGTTAGGAGAGGTTTTTAACATGCTCAGTTTGAAGGTGACAGAGATGGAAATAGAGTGTGTGCTCACTGTGGATGAGATGGCAACCACTCCAGGCGTGCATCACTCCATCACAGACCCAACTGGGATTTGCCACCACCGCTGTTCCTGGTCAGCTCTCCGCTCAGCCACCATGAAAACATGAAGACAGACACACAACACAGTTTAACCTTTCATGGTTACATAAGTTTTTTTTAGTTACTCTTTGACATTTATTTATTGATAGTTATGTTATTCTTATTTCTTGTCATTCCTTACTTAATAACAAAATTGCAAATGCTAATATTATAAAGAAAGTGGAAATGAGCAGTTTTATAGAAAATGTCTAAGAGGGGTTGTGGGAACTGTGGGGCTAACACAAAAGAGTTATCAATCCTAACTTCATGCGTCATTACACAACAGTCATCCATTCATTCCTTGACAGATAGGGTCAGATCACATCACAAAAGGGGACTACAAACAATACACCTGTCAAGTTTGAGTAAGGTGGTTGGGGGGAAAGGGCATAAAGGTCATGAAACAATAGACCTGTCACGTTTGATTTATGGTGGGTTGGGGGGGTGGGGGGGGGGGGCATGAAAGTCAAGGAACAATAGACCTGTCAAAAACCTTGAGGAAAGGTGGTTCCTTATATGTCTCTAACGACATACAATAAAATGTAACTATCACTAAACCAAATGTCAGGGAACAGTGTGAGTGAAACCAGAGAGAAAACACAGATGAAATATCCAAGTACAGAGCGCCCCCTGCAGGTAATTAAACACTAATTAAAACTCTGAGTTTTTTGTGCAGCTCTTGAATCCACCTGCATCACTGTGTTGACTCACAGCACAGAAATACACTCCACTGTCTTCAGGCTGCAGGTTCTTCACTGTCAGAGATCCAGTCTGAGCGTCCTTCTTCTCTGCTGGAAATTTGTCCTGACTGAAACCAGTTTCATACTGGTGAGGAGGACTTGGAGTAGTGAAAACTATTTGTTTCATGGTCTTCCCAGGCAGCTGCTGGTACCAATACATCTGGTAATAGGTACCATCCTTGGTGTGGCTGCACTCTATTGTTGCACCCTGACCATGATGTTCCCACAGCATGGGGATCTGCTCCACATCGCCTCCACCAACACAACCTGTGTGTCAACAACAGGACAGAAGACATTTTTAATCATTTCAGAGAACTGAAAAAAAAAACCATCACCTTCTGTCAAACTTTAGACAGTTTTATTGCTTTATGACCTTTTATGACCCTTAGACCCTTTCAGCAGACCACCTTACGTCAAGATAGGATTTATAAACCTTTTTGTGTTTGTTTCATGACACATCCGATGTTTGTCTTTTATTACATCCTTTGGTCTCTTTGTTACCCCTAGATCTTTGTCTCAACTCTCTATTAGCCCCCCCTCAGCCCACAGCTGGGAGTACCGTTCCCACAGCCCCCTCACCCTTTCAGATCTATGACGTAATACTCCCATCCCTCCCTCCAACATGGTCAGCTCTTTAAAAACTCTCCACACACACACACACACACACACACACACACACACACACACACACACACACACACACACACACACATACACACACACACACACACACGCACGCACACACGCGCGCGCGCGCACACACACACACACACAAACCCAAAAACAGCATAAGTAAACACTTGGCAGAGTTCAGATGGGCTAGGTAATGAATGACACGCCATCAGGTGAGCCATCTGCCTCGGCAGTAGTTGATCGACGGCAGCAGCCAAGGCACCAACCCAGGGCGCTCAGGGAGAGGGGGCAGAAACCCCCGCCACCGCATAAGCACACCCTAGGATCACCCGGGCTGCCACAGTCAACCACCACCCCCGAGGCAGAGGGTCCCACAGAGGAAACAATGGTATGATTGCAATAAGTACAATGACTAAAATAAATAAATAAATATATAAAGTATTTTTAATAATAATAATAATAATAATAGCTAATAAAAACTGATTAAAGAGATAGTAAAACACTAAAACATAAACGTTTAATACCACTAAAATGAAAATAATAAAATAAATAAGTTAATTAATAAAACAGGAAATACAGCTAAAAACAGGTATCAGATCAAAGCTAACCTAAATAGGTGGGTCTTGAGCCAGCTCTTATAAACATAAACATTCTCTACGACCCTGAGGTCCTCTGGCAGCCTGTTCCAGAGACGAGGGCCATAAAATTAGAAGGACGCCTCGCCATGGGTCCATGAACCCAAGGAGACGGCTGCCAGAGGAGCACAGAGGCAGCGAGGGTTTGTAAGGTAAAAGCAGTTCCGAAAGATAAGAAGGCCCAAGACCATTGAGAGAACCTTAAAATTGATCCTGAAACACATGGGGAGCCAATGCAGCGATTCTAAAACCGGAGTGATGTGCTCCCGCCTCCTGGTCTTCATCAGGACATGTGCTGCTGAGTTTTGTAAAAGTTGTAAGACTGAAATTCTCTTTTTGGGAAGACCAGAAAGCAGGGCATTACAATAGTCTATCCTACTGGTGATAAAAGCATGCATCAGCATCTCCGTATTGGCCCGAGAGAGAATGGGGCAGACTCTGGCGATGTTCTTCAGATGATAAAAACCTATTTTAGTGATGATTTTTATGTGTGGGAAAAAAGTCAGCTCAGAGTCGAAAATCACGCCCAGGTTTCTTAAGAAAAGATTAAAAGACGCTGGGCCTCAGGTCCGATGACTAAAACTTCAGTTTTGTCCCGGTTGAGCTGGAGAAAGTTTTCTGCCATCCATGATTCAATGTCTGAAATGCAGGTAAAAAGTGTGTCCATTGGCTGTGTGTCATCAGGAGACATGAAGGTGTACAAGTGTAGCATCAGCTTAACTGTGGTAATTCACCCTGTGTCTCCTGATGACACTGCCAAGAGGGAGCGTATAAAGGTTAAAAAGCAGTGGGCCTAAAATTGAACCCTGGGGCACACCACAGGTAATCCCATGGACTCTTGAGGATCAGGTATCTAAATTCACCATGTCTGTGAGGTCGGATGTGAACCACCTGTGAACAGCACCAGAGTGTCATGACTCGCGGGAGGAGTTTAACCCAAGACATGCAGAATCAACACGACGTCAATAGGTGGGTAAAAAGAAAAGTTCTTTATTTCCTAAGCTGGAACAAAAAGTGCACTGGTAAGTCCAGTGAAGGTGTGCCGTTGGCGTTAGTCCATTCAGTAGTCCACGGCGTGTGGGAGAGAGGGTAGCCAAGGTGAGCGCAGGTGGAATTCAGCGGGCTGAGGCGGGTGAGGCAGCGGAGATAAACAGGCAGGCGTAGAGGAGGATGGGACGTGGTTCTGGAAATCTGAGGTTCAAGCGGCGAGAGAAGTGTGAAGAGTTGTGTCCTGAGCAGAGCAAACAAACAGAGTTCAGGGAAAATCCAAAGGCATAATCCAGCAAAACAGTCCAAGGTTCGGAGCCAGTAATCCAATGTCAAATTTCTTAACAAGCAAAACGAAGTCGAGAGGCTGGGCTACCTAACAGGTGCAATCATCCGGCGCAGTGTGGTGTCTCCATCCTCCTTTTATACCTGACCTCCAGATTGGAGATCTGGCACACCTGCAGCACCCTTTGCTCCTCACCTGTGGATGATTACCTCAGAGAAGGTTAATGAGGAGAGTGCTCACCTCGGCTCAGGAACATGACACCACCCCCCCCCCTCAACGGACGCCCCTCGGCGTCCTCGCAGTGGACCGGGAAGCCTCAAAGTCGGTGATGAGGGAGGGGTCTTCAATGTAGGACCGGGGAATCCAGGACCGCTCCTCAGGGCCATAACCTTCCCAGTCCACCAAGTACTGCACCCCTCGTCCCCGGGGGCGTGAGTCGAGGATCCGCCGGACCCTATAAACAAGCCCCCCCTTGTAGAGCCGGGCAGGCGGAGGCGGAGCAGGCACCGGACACAGAGGGCTGGAAACCACGGGCTTGACCAGAGACACATGGAACACTGGGTGGACCTTCAGCGATTGCGGAAGGTCCAGACGAACGGTCATCGGGCTCGGAACTGCCACCACCTTGAACGGACCAAGGTACCTCGGAGCGAACTTCCTAGATGTCGCCTTGAGGGGTATGTCCTTGGAGGACAACCAGACCATCTGCCCCGGGGAGTAAGTCGGCGCTGGGCGACGATGTCGGTCTGCCAGCCGTTGATTCTTCTCAGCGGTGCGCAGGAGGGCAGACTTTGTGGCCGACCACACACGGCGGGCCCGGCGAAGAAACTGGGGCGTGGAAGTTGTGGGACCTGTTTGGAGCGGGAACAAGGAGGGTTGATATCCAACCGAGACCTCAAACGGAGACTGACCTGTGGCAGTGGAGATGTGGCTATTGTGGGCGTACTCCACCCAAGCGAGATGGTCACTCCAGGCAGAGGGGTTTGTGGCACAAACACAACGCAGCATGGCGCCCAGCTCCTGATTCATGCGCTCGCACTGGCCGTTGGTTTGGGGGTGGTATCCCGAGGTTAAAGCCACCCGGGCCCCCAGGACAGTGGCGAACTCCTTCCAAACCTTGGACACGAACTGGGGGCCGCGATCCGAGAGGATCTCAGTCGGTATGCCATGGAGCCGAAACACATGCTTGACCAGGAGCTGGGCGGTCACGACTGAGGAAGGAAGAGTCTTTAAAGGGACCAGGTGACAGGCCTTAGAGAACCTGTCTACAATAGTCAAAACAGTAGTAAAACCGTGGGAGGCAGGTAATCCACAAACAAAGTCTATTGCGATGTGTGACCACGGGCGAGACGGAACAGGCAGAGAACACAATAATCCAGCTGGTGGTCGATTGGTACCTTTCTGTTGGGCACAAACATGGCAAGCTGACACGTACTCCTTAACGTCCTTATAGATGGCGGGCCACCAGAAAGAACGCTTGATTAGTGCCAAGGTCCTTCCCACCCCAGGGTGTATGGAGAACTTCCCAGAGTGAGCCCAATGGATGACTCTTCCTCGCAGAGTCTGAGGGACAAACAGTTTATTGGATGGTCCGTTACCTGGGCCGGGATCGGCCTTGAGAGCCTCCAGGACCTGGTCCCTTATTGCCCAGGTGACCCCTGCCACAATGCAGGACGGAGGCAGAATGGTTTCAGGCGCGGACTCATCCTCTGAGGCATACTGGCGGGAGAGAGCGTCGGGCTTAGTGTTCTTAGATCCTGGGCGATAAGACAACACAAAATTAAAACGAGAGAAAAACAAGGACCAACGGTATTGTCGAGGGTTAAGTCTCTTAGCCTCCTTGAGGTATATCAGGTTCTTGTGATCTGTCCAAATCACAAACGGATGTTCAGCCCCCTCCAACCAGTGCCTCCACTCCTCCAGGGCCAGTTTAATGGCCAGTAATTCCCGGTCTCCCACATCATACCTGCTCTCAGTAGGTGTTAAACGCCGGGAGAAAAAGGCACAGGGATGGAGCTTGTGATCAGCAGGAGACACCTGTGAGAGGACCACACCCACCCCAGTGTCCGAGGCATCCACCTCCAAGGTGAACTGCTGCGCAGTGTCAGGCCTGCAGAGTACCGGGGCCTCAGAGAACCTCTTCTTGAGTGCCCGGAAGGCTGCCTCTGCCTCTGGAGACCACACAAAAGGCTTAGAAGTAGAGGTGAGAGAAGTTAGTGGAGCCGCGGTTTGACTATAGTTTCTAATGAACCGTCTATAGAAATTAGCAAAGCCCAGAAATCGCTGCAGCTGTTTTCTGGTGGTAGGAGTAGGCCACTCCGTCACAGCTTGCACCTTGTCTGGGTCTGCCTTCAATCGCCCGCTCTCCAACACAAAACCTAAAAACTTCACAACCGGCACATGAAATTCACATTTTTCTGCTTTCACAAACAGTCTGTTCTCCAAGAGCCGTTGTAAAACAGCTCGAACATGTCTCTGGTGCTGGGAGATGGACCTGGAAAAAATCAAAATGTCATCCAGATAAACCGTAACAAAGTCATTCAAATAATCACCCAGAACAGAGTTCACCAGTCTCTGGAACACCGCTGGAGCATTGGTGAGACCAAAAGGCATCACCAGGTATTCAAAGTGCCCCAAGGGTGTTTTGAAAGCCGTCTTCCACTCATCCCCTTGGCGGATCCTAACCAAGTGATAGGCGTTACGGAGATCCAACCGAGTGAAGATGGTGGCGTCCTGGACCGGCTCGAAAGTGGAAGACAGTAGGGGTAAGGGGTACTTGTCTTTGACAGTTATCTGATTCAGACCCCGATAGTCAATGCATGGGCGGAGAGACCCGTCCTTCTTGGTGACAAAAAAGAATCCCGCCCCCAGGGGTGAAGTTGATGGTCTAATGGTCCCGTTTGCCAAAGCCTCAGTTATGTAGGTCTGCATACTGTCTCGTTCCGGCTTTGAGAGGCTGTAAAGACGACTGGATGGCAACGGAGCTCCGGGTAGCAATTCTATGCTACAATCAAATGGGCGATGAGGAGGTAGCGTGGCAGCTCGGTCCCTGCTGAAGACCTGTTCAAGGTCGTGATAAACAGAGGGTACCTGG